CCACTGGGTGACCTTGGGCAAGTCACACTCTCTCATCCTCAGAGGAAGGCAATGGCAGACCCTCTGAAGAAAGTTGCCAAGAAAACCCTGCCTTAGGGTCACCATAACTCAGATACAACTTGAAGGCACACAATTCCTTAGAAGCCACAAGACTGGGCAATCCTGCAAACTACCAAGAGCATCTCATCCTGGATTCTGTTTATCCAAAGATAAACACACACACACACACATAAATAGAATAGGTACTATTAATAATCAAAATATGTCAAGTTTCTTGCTAAGTGCTTAAGTGCTAAGGCCACTGTGCATCATGATCTGGGCACAAGCCAAAACCCAACTCCTGTCGCTGGTTCAATATACCCAGGTCCACCAAAGTTTGGACCAACTATCACCTAACAAGAGTGCAAAGTTGCAGACTGACTGTTTCTTTTTCCAACCAACAAAACCTCTTCTTGGCCCCTCTCTCTGCCTTGCAAATTGATCCCACCCCTCCCGCCATATCCCTAGGGCTGTGGTGTCTAAAGGTTATGGGACAAAAATTGATGGCATTTCTTCTGATCCCTGAAAGGCCATACAACGGCTGTGGCAGCCTCCCTTTGGTCTACGCAGGAAGGAGACCTTCCCCCAGAACAGTTCCCCTCATTAGTTCTCCCATTAGTGTGGCAGATTGCTCAATTAGCAGCCCCTTGAAAACTGAGTCTCCCTGGCTAATGCACAGCCCCCTGAGGAAGGACCCTGACATGCCATATTGTTCTAACCAGGTCCTAATAAATCCCACGCAGGCAGCTGGTCTCATCCAGATCTCAAATACTTACTGATGGCTTCTGACGCTTTTCCACCTTTTTCTTTACTAATGACTTTCAGAAGTAATCTTTAGTTATCTGAGCAATTGCTGGTAGGATCTGACCAAGATTTTGAGGTGAAAGTATGGACAAAGAGTTAATTTACTGAAAGAGAGCAAGAGTGATGTTAAGAATTAATTCTATCCGGAAGAACTGATCCTTAATTCCAGATGTGCGTGTATGTGCATGTATAGGAAGATGCTGTGGTTACTTGGTGCTGTGGGACAGACACATCATGTACTTTGAAACACTTTCTCTCTGATTCTTACATTACTTGATAGGTTACAGGCATGCTGTCCGGCCCAAATGAAACCCACTGAGAAAGCAGCTCTCATAGACCAAAGGAAGAAAAGGAACACATATTGGGTTTTGAATCTGAGTGCTTTAGTCAAGGGAGGGATGAAATTGGCTGCTACAAAGCAAAACAAGGCAGCAGATTCAGAGTGCCACAAGTGAGATCTGCAACAAAACATTGCAGCATAGAGTACTTCTGTTTATGGCCACAATTGTGGATCATGGACATGTAGTATAAAGTTCCACCAGGCAGAAGAATTAAAAGTTACATATTCTCTCCCATCCCTCCCAAACCCATCTTATACCTGCTGCAGTCTCTCAACAAGGCCATTTACTGTTTGGTGGCGTGCAGAGCTGGGGGCTGCGGCAAAGTGTTTGGCTATGTTCTTATATCTGGATGTAGAATAATGAGGCATCCTCTGGGATCCTCCTCCCCTGGGTGTCCTCTATAGATAGTGGAGGACAGAGTGACCAGATGTCATCACTGCCAAGGAGGACAAGGTACCGCAAAATGTAGGACATTCAAGAAAAATGACGGACATTACCAAAGAAAAGGTTAAAACACTCCTCTAAATAGAAATCCATGCTTTTTAGTCATGCTCAGAAAGGAGGATGTTTTGGAATTCCTCCTAGACAGATGGCTGAAATGTAGCCCATGTCCGGGAGAGGGAGGACGTCTGGTCACCCTGCATTCAAATGAATATAAATGCATGCTTCTTAGTCATGCTCAAAATGGACATGTCTTGGAAAAGCAGGATGTCTGGTTTCTTCCTCCTCTTTGGCTGACCCTATTGTGGATTCATTTGTTCATCATTGTTTCCTCCACCTGTAAAATGGGCACAGACAGCGAAGTTTGCTGTAAGGAAGACTACTCAAAATAAAAGACAGTAAAGGAGGTTTCTTATTTAAAAGTTGTAAAACAAGACTATAGAAGGGCAGTTGTACATTCACAGACACCTCTACTTTGGAAGCTGCTGGGGAGAGGGAGAAATTCCTACCTTAGATGAATGCTTCTGGCCTCATTGGCCTCAAAACAGCTGGATTTTGGCCTGGCTTTGGCTTTTCTCCCCCTGGGAAAGTAAATGGGATGTTCCAATCTCCCAGAACATCAGCTAAATTGTGACCGATCTTTTTCCAGAGATCACACTTATCATAGCTGCTTCTTCCGGCTGGGGGCTCTGCTCTTTTTCTTCCTCCCCTGGGCTACAGAACAAGCCCTTACATAATTTAATTCAATTGGGCACTGTGGTCCCTGCCAAAGAAGCTGACAGATGGCAAGACCTTTGACCTCCCCACTCCTCTAAGACCGCTTTGATTTTTTACAAAAGTGTTTTTCCAGGATTGTTCTAAAAGCCATAGAAAACATTTGAGTCTCAGTGCTTCCCAAAGTTCTGACAGCCAAAACACATTATTTTTCTGAATTAACAGTGAAAGGCACACACTTTGCTCTTGCACCCCCGCAAAAGATTTGCATTTCAAAGTCAGTAAGAATTACTTGTTTCCAAAATAGCTCCATTGACTTATGCAAACCAGTTTTTGGGGAGTTCTCCCCGAGAAGCCAGATAGTGAGTATATTTATTAGGCGATTTATGAAATTCTTTTGGACTTAAACACATTAATTTAAAGCAAAACAATAATGTAATTAAAACATCCAGATCTTAGAAATTTTTTTTTTTGGACTATCATTTCCACAGTGCTCTAGTGGTCATGCTGGGTAAGGGATTCTTGGAATTGTATGTTGAAAAGGAAGCTTTGTGAGGGCTGGAGAAATCCAGCAACATGCTATGGCCATTTTTAACACTGGTGTATGAACATACATGTGAGCTATATATACTTGTATGTGAGGTGGAATTTGGATTGTCTCTTTTGAAGTAAAAGGTGTTCAGAAGTGGTTTGCCATTGCGTCGTTCTGCACAGTAACAACACCTTAGGACAGGGGTTGGCAACCTTTGTTGCTGGTGGACCGGGGGGGGGGAAATGGCACTGGGCACGGGCGTGCGCACGCATGCTTTTGCCCATGCGCACACATGCACATGACGCCTGCCGTCATGCACATGCGTGCGTGCGTGGGGTGCCATTTTGGCATGGGGTGCCATTTTGGAATGCCCAGCAGCATGCACAAAATGGTGTCCTGCGTCACACGTGCATGCGCGCGGGGTGCAGGGCGCCATTTGGGAAGGCACCACAAGATAGAAACAACACCGGCACCGTGGGGCCTTTCCAAAGGTGCTCCGTGTCACGTGTGCATGCATGCGTGACACGGAGTGCCTTTGGGAAGGCCCAATGGCGTCTGTGCTGTGCGAATTCGCACGACGCAGGCGCCATTGGGTGTTCCAAAATGGTGCCCACCACCGTGCGCATGCGTGCGCCCGCACTTGCACGCGGTGCACCAGCTTGCACATGGGGGGTGGCGGCAGTGGCAGGACCGGCCACGGGCCGGTCCCAAGGCCTCTGCGGGCTGCACCTGGCCTGCGGGCCAGGGGTTGCCGACCCCTGCCCTAGGAGTTAGCTTAAGTCGCACCACGGGCCGGGTTGCTGTCCCTTAGACAATTGGGGGGCCGAAGCACCAAAAATAAATAAATAAATAAATAAATATAAAAAATATATAAAAAACTATGCATGCACACACTCTCAGCCCCAGAAAAGCCGTGGCAAAACTCCTGTGGAGATTTTGCCAAGAAAACCCCAAGAACAAGTAATAACAACAATAATCAATATCATCATGGCAGGCGGGGGTGGTGGTGGCGGCAGGACCAGCCTGGGCCGGTCCAAAGGCCTCAGGGGGCCGCATCCGGTCCCCGGGCCTTAGGTTGCCTACCCCTGCACTACACCATGCTGACTATCACTCTATCATTAAATGCCAAAGTTAAAGGCTGGACAATGGAGCTTTAGGAAGAAAATCAACTCATTTGAAATGTGGTGCAGGAGGAGAGTTCTATGGATACCACGGACTGCTAAAAGGAAAAATGAATGGGTTTCAGAGCAAATTAAACTGGATTTCTCATGAGAATCCAAGAAAACTAAACAGAGGCTGTGCTACTTTGGACACACCATGAAATGACATGACTCAATAGAAAAGACAATAGTACTAGGTAAAGGGAGGGCAGTAGGAAAAGAGAAAGACCAGATCGATCACAGATGGATTGCCTGAGGAGGCCACAGTCTAGAGTTCATACCCTCCATTATTTCAAAGATGATAACCAGGTCCAGCAAGATCGGATTGTGGCCAAAATGGCAAAATTTGTTAATGAGGAAGAAGACACAACCTGGGAGACACTGTAGTGTTTTGCTTTTGCCTAATTGGGGTGGACAAGTTTCTGCTCCTCTTCTCCTCTGCTCCATGCTGAGTTAATTGAATACAAACTACTTTTGCACTTTAAATTCATGTTTGCAGCAAGTGAAGTAAGCAGAAGACAAAGAGGGAAAGTAGGAAGAGGAGAGAGAAACTGGCATTTTAAAAGCAGCTGAGAAAGTGGGATGACAGGATTAATGGGTACTGTCTCTGAAAAATAGGGGCAGTTGGAGGGTATGGAAGTTTGCAAACCTGAGTAAAGCTTAACATTCTTTCATTCAAGTCCCCATAAGTCAACTTGATGGCAAACCATGACAAATGGGAGCAGGGGAAAGGTGCTGATAGTGAAC